ACATTATATTTTTTATAATTAGGACGCAAAAAAGTTCATACAGAAAAACAATTATTTATGTATTATTATTTCAGTTAAAATATTTTTTAAAAAACAAATTTTATTATTGATTAAAATGGCAACAAAACAGCAACAAGTGCGTAATGCAATTTTGCACGCTCGAATGGAAAATCCTAATAAGCCTCTCAAATCCATTGTAAAAACTGTTGGATGTTCTAAAAGCACTGGAACTTTAAATAAGTATTAGACACTTAATACAATAAATAGAAAGCCTTGAAGCGGCAACAACTTGAACATTAACAAAAAACTGAAGGCGAATGTTTTCGCAAAAATAAGGGCAAATCCTAACATTTCTGAGCAAGATTTAGCATTAAAATGCGAAACTAGCAGACAAATGGTTCGAATCATCAAGAAATAGCATAAAATCAAGTCCTTCAAGATGTAAAAAGCCCCAGATCGCAATGCTGAAAAACATTTAGTGGCAAAAGGTTGTGCTGGAAAATTATGCAAATTATTGTGTAGAAAAAAAAAAGTATAATTATGGATGATGAAACTTATATGAAATTAAATTTCAAAACGATTCCAGGACATCATTTTTATATGGGAGTCTCCAGGAAAAAGGTAAAGGCTAAATTTAAAACAATAAATCTAAAAAAATTCCCCCCAAAAGTTATGGTTTGGCTAGCCATATGTCAATATGGATTAAAAACACAAAGTTTCGTCACTAATTCCACAATAAATAGTGAAATCTATCAAAAAAAGTGCCTTAAAAAGCGCTTATTGCAACTGTGAAACGCCCATGATGGTAATGCAATCTTTTGTCATACTCCAAATCCAAGCTAAACTTCTACAATGCCAATAGTATCAATTTCATACGTAGAACACACAGTCCTGCAAGTCGTCCTAAACTTCGTCCAATTGAGCAATATTGGGCGATTATTAAAGCCAAATTACGTAAGAAGTTTAGGCAAGTAAAATCAAATACTGACTTTAAGAAGAAGTAGGATAAAACCACCTCAGAGTATGGATCTCACGTGGTGCAAAATCTTGACTCCCATCAAGTAAAAAATTAGAAAATTTTATCGTACTGAAAAAATTTAATTCTTTTCTTTATTTATTTTTGGTTCTAGACCTAACAAGCGTTCAATAAAAAAAAAAATCAAATTTGTAGCTCATTCCAATCTTTTTTTAATTCAAGATATAAAAAATGTCGGTTTTATTTTAACCCAACCTTTATAAAGATTGGTATTCTTAATAAAAAGTATAAACAGCTACAAAAATATTGTTTTAGGAATTTTAATTAGTATATTTAAACAGACTGTGTAAATATGCTGTTACATTATATTAGTAATGAACTGAAGTGTTAACAAAATTTTCTATTACAAATCCAAAAGTTTTCTATCAACACACACATGTTAGTGTATATCTAAAAAACTGTGTTTCTCTTATTTATATTCAATAATATCCATTTATATTTTTCATGTTCAAAAACAAAAGCATTTTCTAGTTTTTTTTTAAACTTGATAAACATATGATGCAAGATATCAGATATAATTTGTATCATGTTATAATAATCTGGTACATGGTATCAGATTGTCATAAACCTTGGCGTTTGGGTTAAGGTTATCTTAACCCAAAAAGTAAAGTTATGACCCAAATAATTATTGTGAATTTCAAAATAGGTATCACAGATGAAATTACTTGCAAAGCTGCTCAATTTTATGGCTTTTTATTGAAAAATTTGTGTGGACAAAAATCAAAAAGCATGTACAAGCAACAAATTTTTAGGTTTCATTTTATTTATGAAAATCCTTTTGCATTTTGATTATATATCGATTTCGGATATTATATTTATTCAAACTAATTAATAATTTTTTTTAGACTTGGATTTTATTTATATAACTTCGAGATATTTTCATTTAACCTTCATAAAAAATATAGCAAATTTGAAATATGAAAATAATTTATTCCTAGTGAGTTTTGATAAAAATTACTTGTTATAACAATATCAATAAAATGACACCTTTCCTAATGTTATGCTTTTTTTGAATAAATTAGGTGTAGATGTTTATAGTAGTTCTATTGGTTTAGGGTTAAGTTATTTCATTGGTTTAACATTAAATTGTCGTATTGGTTTAACATTAAGTTAAGGTTAGCTATTTAATCCACAACATATCTAAAGCTATGCTGTTCAACAAGTTATGCAAATTACAGTGTGAGTAGATTTATGAAATAGAATTTACAAAATAAACGAAAATAGAACATGTATGATAAATTGATAGGACAGTAGTAATTTTTGATTTTTAGGTATTGGCAGACATACTTGACAACTTACCTTCCTGCAACGAAATTATGCAAATTGTGAAAAGAACCTTCATCTACAAGCCAATTTAAATTAATTTTCATACTCGGTGTAGTTAAGGCACTTTTAAAATAGTAGAGCGTCTGTATGATATTTTGTTGACTACGACATTTTCCCGTTAAATGGTCTGGTCTGTGAATTATAAAAAGACGAAAAAACTTAAAATGATAAATTTTGCGGTATCATAAAATATAAATGTTTGTAGCGAAAAAATCCAGACCGATGATTCTTTTTTTTTTTTTTTTAAATCATCTTAAAATCACAATAGCTCGTCCAAATTTAAATAAGATTTTATATTAACAAGTTTTTTAGGTGAAATGAACATTATAGTTGAATATGATGATCTGTTCTGATTGTTTATTGGCAATTTTCCATAATTATAAGCTCTTTCTTGGTCGGAATTCCAGTATTTTTTGTGAAAATTGATAGAAATATTGTGTTTTGACAACTATATATAGTTAATATACGTCAGAACCGATTAGAACTAGGATCAGTAGTAAATTAAGAAACTTTTTCAAAAGATTTTAACTAAATTCATATTAATGCCGATGAGCGGAATTGATCTAAAGACTCCAAAATAGTGTTCTTTAGATTATTACTATTACGGGTAGTAAAAAGATTTTGAAAATTATATATAAAAAAGAAAGGTTTCTTTAAATATTATAAAAACCTTAAACAAAAAATATTATAGCATTTAAAGATCTTGTTTGTACATAATATGCTGACAAAATCATGGTAATTCCAAATAAAAGTATTCGAATATTTTGTAAATCGACTTGATTACACGGTGTAGCAGCATTTTCTAAGAAGAATTTTTTTTTAATTTTATTTACTAATTAGATTACTTATATTTCATAATTTCTTTTAATTATTTTTGTAGATTTGTTGTATGTTGGTGTTTTCAAGTTTAAAAAATTATTTTAAGTTGAAAAAATTATTTTACATATAGATTTTTAGTTTTTAAATTTTATTCAGGAGTATAATTATAATTAGATTAGATTGTATTTATTAGAACAAATAATACATATTCTAAAGGACACGCAGGTCCATATTGATGGACCTGCGTGTCTTTTAGAAATAAACGCTGCGAATGACACTAACAGCGTGCCACAAAATAAATAAATTATGTAACAATGTAAATAATTGGAGTGTCCAATTTTTGTAATATTTTTTTGCAAATATCAATTTGATATTATGTTATTAATGTAAGAGTTTAAACTCAAGATATAATTTAAAAATGATACTATGAAGTACATAGACGAATGATTTATACGGTTTGTTTTCTTACAAGTTTAGCGCAAAATGTCTGTACCGATAGATACCACCTGCAAAAACTTTTGATATTGATTGGTCTATTAAAAGTTTATTGTTATTTTTACATGGTTTTCACTTACTATGACTGTAGGTGGGAAAACACGCACACACCGGGAGATATTTGAACAAAAATTAACGCCGCGAATAGCGTTTACTGATTCAAATGGCTTGAAGGTTCATTATAAATCATGATCTATGATTTACCACTGTCTAACCTTTAATAACTCAGATTCTGCTAAAAGTTTTTTTAAGTTGATCGATTAGATTAGATCGATTAGATTAGATTGGTTATGCAACTTTTGCTTGTACTCTGGACATAACGTGCTTTTTAACAGGCTTTATTCTGAGCGAGTGACGCCATAAACTGAAGGCAAGACTTTTAAAACAGAAAAAGCACAGTTAACCAGAATTAAACTCAAAATTAAATTTTCAGTGAAAAAATAACCCCCCTCTGAAAAAAAAATTATATTTATAAATAAATATTTAAAATAATGGTACTACTTTTTTCTTTGTTAAACAAAACAAAAAAAAAAGCATTTCTGCGCTATGTTATTTAATATAGCAATATATTACCTTTTCATGCATTTAATACTTTGATTCTTAAATTTTTTTTCTCACTCATTAATGGTTTGGAACTCTTTATCTTCTTAATAATTCCCGACTCTTACAGTTTTTAAAGTCTTCTGTCAATCTTTTTCTCCTCTTTAACAACATTCTTTGTTTTCCGGTAACTCCCAAATTGAACAGAGGTTACTTTTAGCCTTATTAGGAGTAGATTAGTTGAAATAAATTAATAGTTTGCTTTTTTCTAAATTCTCAATTAAAAGTTTATCATAAATTATAGTAAAATTCTTATTATTTTCTAATATAATTTTGTCAAGCAATTTTCTTCTCATTTCTGTAGTTTTAAAAAAGATTCTTTTTTAATGTTTTAGCTCTTTAAAGTTGATAAAAAGATTCTTTTTTAATGTTTTAGCTCTTTAAAGTTGATAAAAAGATTCTTTTTTAATGTTTTAGCTCTTTAAAGTTGATAAAAAGAAAAATAATCTTTTTTAATAGTTCAATAAGTTCTCCAATATCGACGTTCCTAAAATTGATTTTTTGTAAGCTCATATCGGGACTAAGCTAGTTGTCGAATCCACAGATGTTCTGGCGTAAAACCTTGTAATTGTAATTAGACTATATCTTTTTAACAGAATAAAGCAAATAAAAAACATTTAAGATATAGTTGTTAAAGTTTTTTTAGTAACAAAAATAATTTAAATATAAGAAAAATTATACGCTGCAAAACTATGCAACAAATGCAAATGCAAAAAAGAAGAAGTTAAACCATAGTCAGCGAACGATTTTTCTTTACAAACAATTAAAGCGTTATATACCGTATTTAACCTATAAATATAAAAAACGCATAGATCGGTTTACAAGAAACCCACTGATAAAAAGTAGGTTAAAAAATAAATTTAAAGTTGATTTAGTTTCCGTATTCGAAAATATTATTACATAAATATATCATTTAGATTTGAGATAAAACGTAAAAACAGGATAAAAATACTCTCGTCGTACGTAACACATAAAAAGCAGTAACATATCTGAAAAGCACGTAACACATAAAAAGCAGGATCTATAGCAACATCTCTGAATAGGTTAAAAAGATTGCTAATCACCTATGTAAAGTAAAAAAGAAGAAAAAAGAAAAAAAAAAGATAGAAAACGAAAAAACCTAAACAAGCAAAATATAACAAAGAAAGAAAAATAATTCATATAAGAGAAACAGCGATGGGGCTGTGCAGAGTGAGATAATCTGAAAGGAAATTAGGACGAGCTGAAATAACATCTTTGCCAAAGTTTTCACACTCTGCAAATCCGCTTTCGTATTTATTAGAAATTAATTCTACATTGTTATCTGGCGATTCACCTACTTTAAGTCTATATCGAAACAATATTGCACGTTTATAAGCTTCTTGAACATTTTTTCTCATAGAAGGTTTTTTAGATTCGATAAGCTTTACTTCATCAAGTCGAGAATCCAGTCCTAATGGTTCAATTTTATCGCGAGGTAGCCATTGCCTAAACATATAGTTTATATTGTATTTCTATTATCAAGTAACTCACTAATGTTTTTAAAAAGATACATATGTAAAATAAAAAGTATAGAAAAATAAAAGAATACCATGTTCTTCTGGCATCAAAAAAAAGTATTAAATAATTTTTTATATCGTCATTCATTTGAAGAACATCCAATGGAGGCACAGATATAGGAACACCATTAAACTGGTAACCTATTCGAGGTGCTGCTGGATCAATCGTCTATAAATAGATATCAATTATATATATATATATATATATATATATATATATATATATATATATATATATATATATATATATATATATATATATATATATATATACATATATATATATATATATATATATATATATATATATATATATATATATATATATATATATATATATATATATATATATATATATATCAAATGTTACAAGAATAACTAACCAAAGCAGGGTATGATGGATAACCTTTACATTTAGCCCAAACTAAGGTTAACATATCTAATGTTTCTGGATCTGATTTTGGGTCTTTCAAACCTATCTCATCTGGTGCAATCATATAAACACCAGATTTTATATCATTTAAACCTTCTAAATCTTTAAACTCATCTTTGAGGCATAATTTATTAACTGACTTTTGTCGACCTCTTTTGTGATTCATCTTTCGCTTGTTATAGTGATTTTCACTATCAGAGTTTGCTGAACTACTATAAGTTCTTTTTCTGGACATTGGTTCCAAACAGATATCTTGTTCCATTGCGTTGTCAATTGTGTCCTCTATGCAAATATCTGGTTCATTATAACTTTTAATGTTCTCAGGTTTTGAGGTATGGTCCTGTAACCGTATAATATTGTCATAAATTAAACATTGTTTATTTTCAGCACATTTTTCATTTGTATTAGAGACACTATTTTCAATGATGGCAGACTCTTCTGAATATATATTTTTTTCAATAGAGAGGTTATCTGTAACAGTATTTAAATTATCTGAAATGCTCAAATTTGTGTTTGTCGGTGAAGATACTAAAACATCCTGACAATTTTTTGGAGAACTATTTAAAACTAATGGACTAGGATTAATCGGCTGATACTGTTTCTTTTTAAACAAAACACCACTTCTACGATTACGTCCAGGGCTTGAATTTTTTATGACAGGAATTAAAGATTCATTATTAAGATCATTGAAATTAAAAAAGTCATTAACACTATTATGATTAATAATATTATGATCATTGGTGTTGTTAATATAATTGTCATTACAATTAACAGTTATAGATGATTTCATATTTGGGATTTGAATTAATGGCAGATCATTTAATCTTTCACAATTTACTAATTTAGCTGGTGAAGTGTTGTGGCAGATTTTAACCTCACCATTATAAGCGTTTTTCTGTTTTGATAAGTGTTTTGGTTTACGTCCACGCTTCTTTATTGTTGGAGGTGCAACAAGATGTGCTGGCATATCTAGGCATAAAAACATAATATACTATATTTAATGCTTGACAACAAGCACAATCAAATATATAAATAAAGTTATTTATATTTCATTTTATTCAATTCAAAAAAAAAAAATTATTGTATAAAACATAAAATTTTTATGTAATAACATAAACACACTCTTAAAAAAAAAATTAAAATTAAACAACAAAAACCTTGGTTTAGTGATTTATCAGGTGGATCAATATGTACATCGTTGGCCTTAAAAATATGATTAAAAAAATTGATTCATTTATCTAAAATTGAATTAAAAAATTGATATAAAAATGTGACGGCAATATTAAAAAAAAAACACTTACCATTATACGTTTCTTCCTCTTTAACTTGGCTATTTCTTTGCGCAAGACCTTTTGCCGCAAAAAACGAGCTACTAAAAAAAATTAGCAATTATTAAAAATATATATATATGTATAATAGATATAACATGCATTAAAATGGCTTTAACTTCAAATTTTAAATTACAACAAAGAGAATTACCCCTAGAAAAAATAATTAGTCACACTAAATGAAATACTACAACCAATAAATATTATGATATTTAAAGTCTAATATAATGATAAGAGGTCTAAATAGAAAAACTAAACTTGAAGCTTCAGAGACAAGAGCAAAAAAAAAAACTGTCCATCTTTGCAGCATCCAAATGTGCATTGCAGTAAAAAACACTAAAGGCTTATTGTGGAACAAGTAGTTTTGGTGGACCAATTAACACTTTGATTAATATTTATTGACTTTTTATTGAGGAAAACAAAGTGGAAAGCTGAAAAAGTTTTAAGAACTGAGAAGTATCTAAAGAAATCCAATACTAATAATATCACTATTTTGAACCTGATGGTGATAGTTCTGACACTGCTGATGAGAGCAAGTCAGATACAGATTCTAAAAACAAAATTAGTATTAATAAGTTTACATGTAGCACTGAGATGTAATTTTATCTTCCATTTAACTACCAATAGTACTTTGATACAAAAGCTTGTATTATTAAGATCTGTGATCATGGCATCAGCAATTCAGAAGACTTTAGACTTCTGAATTGCTGATGCCAAAAGCAGAGAATCTCTCAACTGTTATTGATCAGAATAAGGTGCATCCTGAGAGAATGAAGATGCAATGTAAAATACAAGCTCAAGTCAAATATTTGTCTTGAACTTGTATTTGGAAAACTAGTAGCAATGAAAAAATGACTAATACTACCACCAAGCTTTGTTTGGCAGTAGTATTTGTTGAATAATGCTGCCAAACAATTACCATAGAACATACATTGTTTTGCGGTGATTGTTTCACATTTTCACAGCAAACCATGCGCTCTGCTTGTATGTATTAACATTAGAGCTGTTGAAAAAGCTATAAACTTTGTCTACTTATATTGTTTACTTTAATTTTTTAATGTGGTTTTGAAGTGTCTAAACATTCTTATAAGTACATGATAAGACACATGCAGAGAACAATTAATCTGTTCAGTTATCAGTCTGCTGAACTAAAAGACATTATTGATGCTGTTATAAAATAAAATGAGCATCTCCTTTATCAAAACAACATTCTGCTGACAATAATTAAGGATAAGAGCAAACCTGTAAAGGATTGCACAGAATTTTAAAGCTTAGGACACAGTGAATTACCTGAATCTGACTACTTATTGTTTCTAAAACTAAAAACGATGTAATTACAAGTAATATTTATTCACAAGTACCATTTAATCACAAATATCAAGAATTCACAAGTATCATTTTATCACAAGTACCAATTAATCACAAGTACCATTTATTTATCACTTAATCACAAAAAGTTTTTTTTTTTTTTTTTTTTTTATTTTAATTCACCTCCTCAAGGCCGAGACGGCCACTACAGACAAGGAGGCTACTTATTTTGTGGCTATAACCCTCTCTCAACTCTATTACTCCGAAACACGAACCTTGACGAACAAGGCCGCTGCGCGGAGAAACGAGTTGAGCGCGGTACTACCAGGGACGTGGTGGGGATCGAACTCGGAACCACTCGTTTATGAAGCGAGCGCTCTACCACTACACCACTACCGCTTAATCACAAATATCATTTAATCACTACACCACTACCACTTAATCACAAATATCATTTAATCACAAGTATCATTTAATCAAAAGTACCATTCTTTCACAAGTACCAATTAATCACAAATATCAAGAATTCACAAGTATCATTTTATCACAAGTACCAATTAATCTGATTAATTATTGTTTCTAAAACTAAAAACGATGTAATTACAAGTACTATTTATTCACAAGTACCATTTAATCACAAATATCAAGAATTTACAAGTATCATTTTATCACAAGTACCAATTAATCACAAGTACCATTTATTTACAAGTACCACTTAATCACAAGTATCATTTAATCACAAGTATCATTTATTCACTTGTACTATTTAATCATAAGTGCTATTTAATAACAAGTAACATTTAATCACAAGTACCATTTAATCACAAGTACAAATTAATCACAAGTATCACTTAATCACAAGTTTGAAAATTTTATCATAAGTATCACTTAATCACAAGTTTGAAAATTTTATCATAAGTAACTGTTAATCACAAGTTGGAAGTTGAAGTGAATCAGATATATTGATACATCTGATTAATTTGAATATCTGCGCTAAGAAATCAAAAACAGAAAAATGAAATTTTTAACATCAGTTGCTGTTAAAGGTGTATCAAAAACAATGACTTTTCTTACAAAAAAATAACAAGAACTAAAAATCATTTTTCAAATGAAAGTTTATGCATTCCGATACCATTAAAATCTGCTGTATTAGTATTTAAATACTCTGATAAGTATAAAATAAAGTTTAGTAAGGAAATATATAAAAAAAACCTTAATGGACGAAGAAAAAAAAAAGACTATTTGTTTTTATTTTAACATAATGTCATAAAAATCTTGTTAATATAGTCTTTAGGAGACTAAAAAACAAATACAAACTGTGAACAAAAATAATTATGACTGTATGCAACACCACAAATGAGAACAGTTGATTTATATTTAGTTTGCTTACAGTTTCTCCTAATTTAAAATATGATTGAATAGATGTAAAGTTAGAAATAGCAGCTGCACAAGAAGGTGAAAACCATGGAGTAGAACGAGGCTTGACTTTAAACCAACAAGAAGGAATAAACACTTCCATTCCTGGGAGAAAAAGGAAAAACTGACCACAAGCTAGGGTCAGAGACACAAATCAAGGTAAATCAAGGTAAATGATTAGGGTTGTTAGAAAATGATTCACAAAGTTAACTATCTGAATAAAATATTAAGAAATGCAGAAATTATAGGCTTTAGTGCCAGCAGGGTCAGTGGCATTAGAGACAAGCCATTCAGTGTGATGAGGATTAAAGTTACCAATAACAACAATATTAGTTGAGGGGTCAAGAAAAGGGCATGATCAATTTGGTCAGAAATTATATTCAAAAGAATGCAGTCAGAATGCAAAAAGGAGAATGATAAAGAACTAAGAAAAAAGTCATAGAGTGAAGATGTGCTAAGTGGAAGCACATAAAAATATGGTCAAAGGATTCAAACCTGATTTCACAACAAATAGGTGAATTGATGTATTTTAGAGCAGCCATGGCGCAGTGGTCAGAGTTCTGGCTCAGAACCGAGGTTTGAGGTTCGACGCCAGCTCTAGTCCAACAAGTGACATTGGTATGGAAGAAGGTGTGAACTTCTTGTTAAATGCTCACCTGTGGTGCTCTGTGATAAGACTGTAAGGACTTCTTGGAGCACTTAAAATAACTACAAAAAAAAAAAATTTTGAGTTATTTTTGGCATGATTAAAGTTTAAAGAGAACTTGACTCATTCATAAGTAGAGCAGGGCCTCCTAAGTTATGAGCTATGCAATTGTCTCAGTCTGTTTTTTTAATAAACTTTTATGTGTCTATATTAACACTTAATTGTTAATAGATTAATAAAAATTTGACAAATTTTTCTCCTGTGAATAGTAAATAAAATTTCTCAAAAAAATAAATAAAATCTCTCAAATAAATTGAAGATCCTTTATATTTAAAGTTAAACAATTTAATTTATGCAAATAAAATAAATTGATGTCAAATATCATATATATCATATCACATCATATCATATCATATTGAAAAGAATATTAAATTTCTGATCAATTGAAATTGTTCAGAAAGTTAATGTTTTTTCTAATGTCATATGATAAAAAAAAAAAAAAAACATTTTTGTAAAATATTATTCTTGTCATGAATTTAATAGTATAAATAGAATTATTCAACTTTGAAAATAGAGGAGATATCTTCAATTTATTGTTGGATTGATATTTTAATGTTTTAAAATTAAAAATAAAAAAAAAAAATTTATATAGATAAGTTAACAAGGTACAAAAAAAATATTTTTTTTTAAACTTTATTAAAAAGTTAAACACTCATTATGTACTTTATATTTGACCTGTGCGAATTTACCTTAAAGTTCTAGTATTTTTTTAAAGAAGTTGATGTCTACAAGGTGCATATTGTTATACATCAGCAGTTCAAAAATTTTACTTCAAAAAGTATATTGAAAAAAAAAAAAAAAAAAAAAAATCAAAATTTTTGTAGAATATCCAGATTCAAAAATTTCTCATTTCTTCACAGAGTTACAAAGAATTAGAATTGTCTTCCTCAAGGAATATTAAACAAAGAAAACATAAAATTTTAAAAACAGTATCAATAAACTTTTTTACAGTCATAGTCGTAATTCTACATAATTAAGACTCAACACACCTCAAGTTAAAATAAGACTCAACACACCTCAAGTTAAAATAAGACTCAACACACCTCAAGTGTGTACACACTCAACACACTTTAAGTTTGTAGAGCACCCCTTCTATTTTGTTTTATGTTTTATAAAAACATTAGATTTAAATGTTCTATTTTCTAATCCATGTATGAATATTAAGGTTATTTATAACAGTTTTGCTTATTAATCAATTCATAATTAATATAAAATAAACTTACATAGGTATAAATCAATAGTGCTAATTTTGATTTTAACTTTGTTAGAAATACCCCTTAACAAAATAGCTTTAATTTTATCTAAATGCTGCATGCATTGTAAAAAAAAAATAATAATTTCTTATTCAAGTTCAGAAACACATCTATTTTGTTTATTTGATTGATTAAAGAGTAAAACTTAAAAAAGTACAGAAGAAAAGTTGTACTATAAACAATAGTTTAATGAACTTTAATTTAACTTAAAACAAAAATTTATTTTAAAGTAACAACTGTGTACTAAATAAAGTGTACTAAATAAATTAATTCTTTAAAGTTGCAAATTTTTCCTTTTTAGTTTCAATTTGCCTTTTTACTATTAATTCTTTAAATTTCACGCATAAAGTACCACTTTTTTTTCTAACACCCAATTTCCAATTTCAAAAGGATGGGAAGCTGAAACCTGCATTTAATCTTTGAAAAGATCTGGAATTGATTTTTTCAGTTTCTTCTTGTACAGTTTTTTGTAATGGTAATTTTAGTTTAATGGCATAATAAACGTCTTTTAACAGTTTTTTTTTTGGGAAGGATTTTCACCAAGAAGAATACTCATTGTTTTCAGGAATTCTTTCAGTTAACAACATTCCAACTTTTAATTTGATCCATAAATGCTTTATTTTTTTTATTATCAGAAGAACCAGACATAATTAACAGTATTGTTTAAAACTGTTTTGACAATGTTTGTTGTCTATTCCATTGTTTGCACCTCAGTTATCCCATAATGCTTTACGAGTGAAATTTGAAGAATTAATAGCGAAAAGGCAAATTGCGAGGAAGTTGTAGATTTTAAGCTAAGTAATATAAAAGTCATGTGATATTACCTACTTTTAGAATAACCTTTTATTCTGAGTTTTTCATCAAAACAGTTAAATTGTAAACATTTAAAAGTTAAAATTTCAAGCTTTTAAAAAGTGGCTAACAGATGAAGATTAATATTTTGTCATTGATTTATAAGATTTAAATAAGTGGAAAAAAAAAAATCCAAAATTTTTAGTACTAGCCTCAACAGAGAAAACTTGGTGCAGAATGAAAAAAGAAATTATAATTAAATAAACTTACAAGCTGATTGAATTGTAGATGACATATTTAATTTTTCTTCCAAGCCTTCAATTTTTTCATCAATTGTCATAAATTGGTTATCAGCAACAGAAAGTACATCTAAAAAATATCCTAATTTGTTTTCTGTATAAAACTTACATACTTTCATAGCAAACTTGAAAAAATAAATAAATAAAGCAACACCCAAAAAATATCTAAATCTAATAACATTTTATATACCATCAACATTTGGTGTAGCTTTTTCTCTTTCTGGAGAGGTTAATGGAAGAGGATGATCCATATGCATTCCTGTCTTTTGATCAATGCCTGCCTGGTTTATTCGTAATTTAGCAGCTTTTAGGATAGGTTGGCACTCTTTTCGCAGCCGCATAGCAGATCGATAATATTTTGTATCCTCGTTATTAAAGTCCATGCAATTCTTGATAATCAAGTTAAAATCTGCCTCAAAATCATCAAAACTCATATATTCATAGTCTGATAGCTTTTGTTGCATGGTAGAAAAATCCATAGGATTTTTAATAAACTCATGATAATCAGGTGCCTGTTAAAATGAAATAAAATCGTTATACAATATTCAAAATTTGTAAAATACTATATAAATTTTAAAATAATAATAAAAAAAGTAAACCCCCCACTTGATATATTGATGATTTAATAACTCCCCACTTGATATATTGACTATTTATTAAAAACAGATTCAGCTAAAGTTTTCATTAAAAACCTTTTATGATCCTGCCCGTAGGCCCTCCTTATAGTTCAAAATTGGTATATATATATATATATATATATATATATATATATATATATATATATATATATATATATATATATATATATATATATATATATATATATATATATATATATATATATCATATAAACCATTAAAACAAATTTATTCATAGCCCTGTATACTAATGTGTGAGGGACCACTAATAAAAACGCATTTTCTTTGATGAAGTTACGACCATTTTAAAAGGTTTTAAAAGGCATTTTCCTCAGACTTCCTTATGAATACCAAGTTCTTAATGGAACATTGAAGCCTTATCTTTTTAATAAATTCAACAAAAATAAAAGTGCACCTGCTCTGGATCAACAGGCTGTGAAAAAACATTTGAAATATCTTTTTCTCTGATCATCTGTAGTGTACGCTCCATTTCAATTTGAAGTGGCTTTAACTGAAGATCAACAACTTGCTGTTTCATTCGGTACTAAAAAAAAAAACTTTTTAAGAATTAAAATTACACATGCTTATTTAATTTTTATGTTTATCAATTTACTAAAATCATTTTAATGCTGTTTTTAAACAAAGTAAATACCTGCTCTTTTTTGATTTTTTCCCGTTTCCGAATTAATTCAATTAATAATCGGGCTCTTTCTAAATCATGACGCAACTGTTGCCAATAGCGTAGCTGTTCTTTCAACTCCTTTGACTGACTCCAATCTTCAAGAGACTTTAACCACACAAAAAGTTTGTATTTATGGATAAATACAAACAAAATTAAAATATTTTATATAATTAAATTTTATTTAAAAAATCTTTTTACCTGCTGTTCATCTCTCTGATTTTTATTTATGCCAGTGCCTGTGTTAGCTTGCAAACGACGCAATAGTGGTACACCATTACGAGACTGCCTTTTAAGCATCCAATAAGATTGAAGCTGTTGTATGAATAGTGACTTTTTAGCAATTATGACTTTTGAAACAATTTTTCCCAACCTAAAAATAGAATAATTTTTCAAAAAGTACAAAACTGTATTAAAAAATTTCAATAATAGATCTAAATATTCAAAATTAATATATACATAATTATAAAATATAATAATCAAAAACATTTAAAAACAACTTTAACTTCAAAGTTTTTTTTTTTAATTTAAAATTCTTTATGACAATATTATGATTATTTTTTTTGAGTTTTGTTTGATCGGTGACTTTATATGTACACCTTACTGTAAATTGCACAATTTATTAATCTACAACACTGTCTACAGCTATTCAAATGCACCAATCTCTGAACTATTTAAATACTGCTTCTAAAATCCAGTGGAAATATTTTAATTTTTTGCACTTTAAAATTATAGTTCGATAATTGAAATTTGATTTACAAATTATATAAAGAACATGTGCAGTAAGAGACAATTAAATTTAAAATACAACACAGACAGTGGACTCTCAAGATGCAGGAGTAAATGTCTAAATACTCAACATTTTGAGTTTTTTTCTTAAACTTATTTCTTAATGACTTTTTTGGTTGAGTGAAGAGGTAGGCGTTTAAATCCATAACACTTGGGCAGGCTTGGTCAGGAAGTAGGAGCAATCTCTCTCGAATACTGACCACGGAAATTATATTTAGTTGCGAAAAACTGGCCAGGTTTTTTAGTCGTTTTGAGAACATTAAAGTTTATGTATGAAACAAAAAATTTTTGTTTTACGAACATACATAGAAACATAAAAAACTTAAATGTTCTCAAAACATCTTGGTGCCAAAGAATAAAAAAAGTATTTGCGAACACTAAAAACCAACAAATTAACGAACAAACTAATTTTATTGGTTCAAAAAATACGCTGATTAAGCCAAATAAAGTTCTTGAGTATTCTGTTGAAATGTTTTAGCAATTGTATTATTCACGATTTGTTACATTTGTGATTTCCAGCATAAATTATTTTAAGAATATATATTATTTGTTTACAAAAATAAATGTTTTAAATATATATTAATTAAATTGTCAAAATTTTAAAAGTTTATTATAAATTATAGATTTTAATAGTATATTCTAATTTTTTATTTAAAAAGTATGTATTCTTTATGAAAATGTAATTTTGTGTATTATTTTTTTATCGTAATGTATCTTTTAAAGCAATTTTTATGATTTAAACAAAAATAATTGCGTTTTCAATGAAGTTATAATTGTTAAAGTTAATAAAACTAATCAGGGTTAAACTTGTCCACCGGGATGCTGGGGGAAGCCCCAGTGGGCCGCTGATATCTTACTTACAATGAGCCACTAATATAAAATCTAATGGGCCACTATTATAATGGGCCACTAATATAAATTCTTGACAATGGGCCACTAATATAAATTCTTTGATAGTATAATTAAGTGTGATGAGTTAATATTTTGATTTTTAAATTAATTACTTTTAATATGGTAATAACCATATTAAAAGTACATAATTTAATAAATAAACTTATAAACTAAAATAACCTTTTGTTAATTGAGGTATCTAAGAGTTAAATAACACATTATTTATATATTATGTGATTTTTTTCAGATGAACAAACATCGCGCCTGAGGTCACGGCAGAACACAAATGTATATAGCAAATAATTAGATATAAAGAAAAGTTTCTAAATATTGGTTTACTAACTCTAATTATTTTCGTTTAAGTTGCCATTCTTAAAACTCGTTATACTTTTTTCTGCTTTAAATACTAATTAAAATTAAAAAGCCCACTCACAAACATCATCAACGATATTGTGAAGCAGTTTCGCTTTCTCGTCATAAAGTATTTTTAACCTTTTTAGTTGATTTCTATCTTGATAATTTAATTTCTATAGTAATTCAATGATTTAACTATTTCATTTGTTTATCTTACTATTCAAATATGTTAAACTTTTCAAACTACGCAAAACATAAAATAGGTATTAAAAAAATTAACTTGTTTATTTATGAAATTATTAAGCATAAATAAAACTAAAACTTGCAAACTTTGTTAAATAAACAATATTTGTTTCCCTTTTAAACAATCGTAAGTTGTTACTTTATATAAAAAAAACATCGCTTAATTTTATAAAAAAAATTATAAAAGAGCGATGTTTCGGAAATATTTGTTCTTAATGTAATTTATTTAGCTTTAAGTCATTTCGCGTTTAAAGATATTTTATTTGCCTAATTTTTTTTTTTTTTTGTAATTGTCTCTCATTAGTCCAATTAATCTTTAGCGCTTTTTTTTTTTTCCTTTTTAAAATGTTCTCAAAACGACTAAAAAATCTGGCCAGCTTTTCACAACTAAATATTATTTATGTGGTCAGCAATCGAGAGCGATCGCTCTTGCTTCCCGACCAAGCCTACTTGGGGTGAAATTTAAAATTTTCAAAAAACTTATCAAATGTATGCCTTGTTCTTAAACCATGCATATAGCATTTCTTTTAAGAAGATTTTAAAAAACATTAATGTTTTCAAATAAAGTTTAATGAACAAAAATTTGCATTGGTGAAAAATTGCTAAAGAGTATTAAAAAAAAAAAAATTTTTTTTACAATACTTATAAATAAGCATTTATGATTTTTTTTTTTTTTTAGATTATTATATTTATTTTACACAAAACATTGTAATAAAAAAAATTTGTATGTTGATTTAGTTTTCATTGATGCAACAGATCTAACTCCACAGTAAAAAATACAATTTATATGACCATTTTTTTTAGATTAAATTTAAATTCTTGACCTAATTTTTCTTTAAATAGAATATGTATCAATATTTTTATAACAAGAAACTCGTATTCTTTTACTTAAAAAAAAATTAAAAAGTGGTCAAAAAGGTTTTAAAAATCCACTGTCTAATCCTTTTTTAAGTTTTCTGTTATATGAGTGTAGTGAAACCACATAAGGAAAAGTTATAAAGAATCACAGTCTAATCCTTTTTTAAGTTTTCTGTTGTATGAGTTAGTGAAAGTTATTTAAACTAATTTTTTCAGGGTGGCTACATGAAATTTTCAAAAGAAAAAGATGATATTAGAGGACTTTAGAGGAGATTTTGCATTTATTTTAGAGGATTTTTTTCGCAAAACCAGAAAATTTCAAATAAAAATAGATGATTTGTTTTATAGGTTTGTCATCCATGTTTTTTAACTGTAATAAATGTTTTTAAAAAGTTTTTTTCCAGAGTTTCAAAGTAAAGGATTTTAGAGGTTTTTAGAGGAGATTTTTGGAAAAAAAGGACTTTAGAGGATTTTAAAAGAGCTGTGTTTATAATAAAGTTTTTTTTTATAAGTTCTTTATAATAAAATCATGGTAAATAGACTAAAATTCAGATCAATAAAAAAAATTGATCCTGGGACTAGTGCACTGCGAATCGGTAGTTTGTTTGGAATCTCGAATCAAAGCAGGTCTTGATTCGCGATTCGAATCACGTTTCAAATCAACATTTTGAAGTCTAAATTTAAGCACTTTTTATTTAATAATATATATTTCAAAATAAAATAAAATAAAGCAATTGTATAATTTCTTTATTGATGCTTCTTGTCTTGGTTAACCTTTTTAATGACTGATTAAAAAGGTATTTAAGGACAAGTAATGTTATTTTGATAGCGCCAAAGCGCACAATATCTAAAATACTCACAACAAAGTAAGGATTTGATTTTCAAAAATTTTCAAATCATACCTTGAATCATATTTTTGATTTGATTCGATTTGAAGTTTTGAAAGGCCTTACCTGGGACACAATAAACAAAGGTAAAGGACATAAACTACTTATAAAACAATAATTAAGCCTAATAGAATAGCAAACATTATTAGAAAATATAACCTAATGGATACCATCAAAAATTAGAAGAGAAAAGGACAGCTAGCTAAGACTACCATATGTATTAATAAATAAATTATTTGAAAAGTTGATCAAGATTGAGAAATATCAGCATCAAAGCTTACAAAAAAAACTTAAAAACAGATCATGGTATAACTGTAATTCCTAAAACTGTTTCCAACCACTAAAAATTAAGGTTTTGTAGATAGAGTTGCCCCAAAAAAAGTCTAAAGTAAAAAGAATCAAAAAAAGATTGACTTAGGCTAAGAAACATTTCCAATTGACTCTCAATCAATGACAACAAATTTTTTGGTAAGATATAACAAAATATGTTTGTTTAGTTCTGATGGTATTGTAAGTGGAATGGAGAAAAAAATGATTAACATTTAAATCTTGTGAGATTATTATATAATTGTTTTCCTGACTCAAATACAACCTACTACTTATTAAGTCTTCTGTCAACTGTTTCCTAGCTCAATAACTTTATTCTTTTTTTTCCTAGTATTTTCCAACTTAACAGTGGTTGCTTACAGCCTTGTTGAGAGTGAATTAGAATATAAAATAAAAAAATAAAAAAATGTATGAGACCAACTGTCAAACATGTAGAAGGTATCATTAAGCTTAATTAAAATGTTACAATATTCAATGCCTAAAAGATTTCTTTCAGTCATTGCAAAATTTCATTGCAAAAGGCAGAAAAATTGACGATTAACTTTATAGTAGTAAAATAATTATTTAAGGGGTGATTTTTCTGATTCAATGGATAGTTTTGTTTTTCTGATTCAATGGATAGTTTTGTTTTTCTGATTCGAGGGATAGTTTTGTTTTTAAGTATAAGAATTTGAATTTCTTATTATAAAAATGTTATTTGATACAAATTCAATATATAAAAAAAAAAAAAAATTAAAATTTAGCCTTAACAAATTCCATTTTATTGAAAAATCATTAGGGGGTGACTTTTTTGACACAGACACACACAGACACACACAGACACACACAGACACACACACACACACACACACACACACACACACACACACACACACACACACACACACACACACACACACACACACACACACACACACACATATATATATATATATATATATATATATATATATATATATATATATATATATATATATATATATATATATATATATATATATATATATATATATATATATATATATATATATATTACCTGTGAGCAGGAACAAAAGGAATGTGAACAGCTGGCAATTTAAAGCTCTGCTTTTCTAGCAACTTCTTCTGTACTTCTTTTAGTTTAGCAGAAGGAGTTATTAAGGGTGATTGATTTTTTAATTTAACTGACATGGATCCTTTACTATGTACTGATGCATTATCACTATCTTCATCACTGCAGCAGTCACTTTGATAGGGAGTACCCGAATTTGAGGATGTTCCTTGCGGTGTATGGGCATCACAATAGGCAAACTTTTTTACAGTTGGTTGGCCATTTTCTGTTCTGCCTGGTTCAATCTTCATATACAACCCCCCTTGTTGTGCACAAGTGACATGAAAGGCTGTATAACAATTTGTTTTGAAACATTGAATACATGCACCCTCTTTTTTTTTGCAAATATAGCATAACAATTTCCATCTCGCAGCAGGAATTTCCTGAATTGAATCAATAGGCTCTAAGAACACAGTATTTGCAAAACAAACTTCTGGGATCCATAAAGCACATACTACATGAGCCCAATGATTTGTATCTGTTTGTTTAAAAGCACCACTTTTTGTAGGACAAAGAAGACAACTAACAGGTTTAGATGGTGAACGAAAACATCGACGACAAAGCCACTGACCTTCAGGTATATAAGGAACACCATAACATTCTTGGTGAACTGCCAAGTTACACATGTCACAAAACAGTATCACATTACTATTACTGCATTCTCCATCACAGCAGATACTGCATACCGCATCCTCATCAATTAAATTATAAGGATCACCAGTTACAGTTCTTGTTTCAAAATATGACTCTTTTTCTAATCTATCCATAAGCATTTCAAAAACTGAATGGGAAACAGGAGGTATTCCTTCAGACTTTCTATTTTCATTTAACTCTTCAAGCCATATGTAATCTTCTTCATCCATACCATATTCTACTTCTTCATCTAACTCCTCGTGTGGCTTTTCTATATACCGGTAATAGGTTGCTCTTTCTGGAACCTCTGATGCTAGTACTTCCTCCTCTGCTAGAATCGAGTAAACAGCTATTGGTAGTGATGGCTTTTCCTCACCACCATTTTGTTTAAACTTGCTTTGATAACTGTACCTATGTTTAGGTTGATTAAATCGAATCTTTGCTCCTCTACCTCTTTTTCTTGGTGTAAATTTGAAAGGAAATTTCTTAGGAGACGAATTAGGTAAATCAAAACTAGATTCAGAAGTTGTGTTTGCTTCAATTTGAATTGTTAATGGCTCTGAAATGAGATTTCTAATAATATTTCCTTTTAAATCGAATTCTACCATACACTTAGACTCTGCATAAGTTAATGACTTCTTGGTTTTCTCAGGAAATGAAGAGTTTCCATTACTTGATATGTGAAGACTCACCGGATTATCTGAATGAAACTTTACAACATGATAACTAATACCACTAAAACTTCTATAAAACTTTCCACAAAACGGACAATCTAAAGGATACTTTTGTCTCTGCAGATTTTTTAATACTAAAGCTATGTCCATTATGTTAATATTCAGCTATAATTTAAAAAAAAAAAAGTGAATTGAATTAAATCTATACCATAAATGCATAATAGCAAAAGAGTTAAAATTTATAACCAAAGATATATATATATGAGCAAAACACAAGTTTGCCGAGATATTAAATCGAGTTGGCGATATCTAGTTTTAAAAGTATAAAAACAACATTCATTTAAGTTCAAAAAGAACCGTATCAACAATATATAAAAATTTAAATGCCAAATCTACATTTTCGAAAAAATAATTAATTCTATCTATCCACATTAACTTAAATACTAGATACTTAAAACTACATAATAATTGAAATTAAACTTTCGCCATATTTCTGATCTCTTTCAAGAATGAATATAGACAAGAAAGCATCGATTGGCGCAGGTAAACAAACAGTAATTTAATTAGGACGCTTTACTTTGATAGTTTAAAACGTTTAAATAACTTTTTGAGGTAATATTTAAAAAAATTGCAAATTTTTTTTATTTATTTAATTTATTAAAAAAATTAAACAGACTATAAATTTAGTTTTTGAAGTTTAAAATTTAATTATTATGTTCTAAGTGATTTAGTTTACCCCCTAATTGCTATTTTGTTTTATAACGAATTTTACTATGCATTTAAATAGATGTTGAAATTAAAGCATTAGCTGATTATTTTCTCCGGAAAAACGAGAGACAAATTTCTTGCAATTTCTTTTCTTTTTTTTTTTTTTTATTTGATTTTTTGTAAATAAAATTTTATTTGTTTTAATTTTATCATTTTTTTAAAATGATTATTATTAAAAAGTAATTTGCCAAAGAAGCATGTTAACTTTTTGTTTACACGATGACGTATATCACTTTACTAACTTAGTTAGATTTTTTATTTTAATTCATATCATTTAAATTTTGTTATTATTATTGACAATTACAAAAATATAACAATTAATCTACAATTTTGCTATGTGAGCTTTATTCTGAAAATCAAAAAAAGTTTTTTCTTTTTAATTTTAATAGCTCATTCTTTAAACTCATTACACTTTCTACTATTAAAAAATTCTAAATAGTTAACTTTAAATAGAAATCTAAATTTTATTTTCAATAGAAACATTTAAGATTAATTTTTAAGTTTGTTTTTGATTGAAAAAATATATATAGGTTTTCTATTATTGTTATTATAATAACTGTTATTATTGTTACTATTAGTATTGGTATTATTATAAAAAGAGTATAGTATATAGTATAATACCTTGGTTGTAAGAAGTTTTTTCAGAATATATTGATTGATTGACTATATGAAATTCTTACTTTTGATAGAATCATTCTGCACAAATATTTGTATCACTCTTTCTAGATAATTTAATAAGTTGCCTAATGTAATTTTTAAAAAAAGAATTTAATGATCCCTAAAGTAGCAAAAGCAAATTATTATAAAGCAAAAATTATTTAGTTTAATTAATTGAATTAGTATTTTATTTAAGAAAAATGGTTTTTTATTGGACTTTTTACACTTTTATAATTGCTGTAGTTGTTGGAAAAAAAAATGCTGAGTAATAATGTAGATAAATTTAAATTTATTATTTATTTACTATTTTTAACATTAAACACTCTTTTATAGAATTCAATAATTGAATAAGCATCTAGCTAATATTATAATTTGTATAATAAATATTACAATATATATAATAAAATGAGGTATGGGGTAGCTTTTTTTATTATTATGTTTAGTTATAACCATTGAGTTATAATTTAAAAAAATTTAAAAAATATATATATATATATATATATATATATATATATATATATATTTTATATATATATATATATATATATATATATATATATATATATATATATATATATATATATATATATATATATATATATATATATATATGCATGTGTATATGCATGTGTATATGCATGTATATATGCATGTATATATATATATATATATATATATATATAATATATATATATATATATATATATATATATATATGCATATATTCATGTATTTGTTGCTAATATTTTTATATGAATTTTGTATATTTGTTTCTTAATCCATTATTATTATTATTATTATTATTATTATTATTATTATTATTATTATATATATGTGTGTGTATATATATATATATATATATATATATATATATATATATATTATATATATATATATATATATATATATATATATATATATATATATATATATATATACACACATACATATATATAAAATCAAGTTTATTTCTGCTCTTATGGAAAAAATATGCTTTAAATAAATTAATTATAAAAAATACACAAAAAAATAAAATAAATGAAAAGTAGTTTTTAGGGCAAATAAATTTTTTTTCATATAAACTTTTCTGTTGTTAGGTTTTGTCATTGTGTTAGTGTGAAATTAATATTTTAACTAGATTTTAATGATGGATTCACTTGATGATGGTATTACACTTTCTATGCTTATGAAGCGCAACAGTGAAAAAACATCTGAGCAAAAAAAAAATGAATCCTTAAAAGCTTCCAGCTTGTCATGGGTTAAAGAAAAGGAAGTGTATGAACTTCAACTTAACCAATTGCAAGAACAATTAGTGGCTTCTATGCTTCAGAACCAAAATTATGGTACTGATTTGGTTTAGAAAATAAAACCATATGCAAATTGTATAAACAGATAAATCCTTAAATCAAGTCTATAAAACAGACTTTTTTACAATAGTTTTTACAAAATGTTTAAAACTTTTTTGGGGTGACGTTAAAGTTTACTGGTAAATTTTTGTATAAATTATACGATAATGCAAATGGTTAGATAAAATCATGTTGAAAATTTTGTAAAACATTTGGGTAGGTAGGGGGAAAATTTAAATGTGTTGTCATTTAAACTTAATATAAAGTTTATGGTTGTAAATTGAATGTTGAAGTTCAATTTACTGTCATTTATTTTAAATAGTTGTTATTTGTTTTCTTTTCTTGCAGAAAATGAGATTAAAAAATTGAAGGTTGAAACTGATTTTGAAACTATTGAAGATTTAAAGAGGCAGTTAAAAGAAGAGAAAGATAAACATAAAAAAGACGAAGAATTTAAAAATACATTATTGGAAAAAAACAAGTTTGTTATTTTTTATTACTTCAGTATAAAATGTCAATGGTAATTATATATTTATTCATGCTGTTTGCATGTGTACAAATATTTATAAACATGCTAACAGACACTTACAAACCTGCATATTTCTGTGTGTCTGTTTATATTAAACATTTTTTGTAAAATTTTACTTTCTTGTAAGAAAATTTAAATTGCATTTTGAAGAAAATTCAGATTTTTTGTTTTTTATTAATATAACATATTCACAACATTCATTTGTTATATGTTTTATGAATGAAAGATAAATAATGGTGTGCACTTAGATCTCTTTACCTCTCACTCTAGTGTTCCAAGTTTGAACAATACACTATTAAGTAATTAAAGGGCACTGAACTAGACGGCAGTGTTTGTGAAAACAATTACTTGCTTCCCAATTCATTAATGCATTAAACCCTCTTTTTTTTTTCAAAAATGTCATTTAGTCCCCTTGACCTTTAGGGTCCTCATATATCATAAATATAATGGTGATGATAGACTGTTTTTATTTAGAGATGAATTGAATACAAGTAAAGCTGGTGATTTTTGTGAAATTAGCACTGAGCATGTTATAGTTCATAGAGAATCTTCTGTTAATCATTCTGACAGTAAAGTATTTATTTCTTTATAGTATAATAGATAATATTAGTCATAACTTAAGAATCAATTTGTTTAATATATATTGCTGTAAAGTATAGCAAGAAAATTAGCACAGTGTAATTATCAATGAAACCTATAAGCAAGAGAAAATTGTGCACTTTAATTATTAATTTATATTTAAACTTTTTGTTTTAATTGTTATTAAACATTGATCTATTTGTAAAATCATTAGAAAAGTTACTGATCAACTTTTTATGTAATGTCCTGAACATTTTTGTTGCTGTTGCTTTTTTAATATTATAAATGTTAGTTATTGTTGTTAGGAAATTTTAAAAATTTTGTTAATTTTAAAATCATTTTAATGTAATTGTTTTTTAAATTTATGTTTTTGACACTACATTGTTTTGTTATTTGATAAAATTGCAAAGTTAAATGTTGTAGTGTTAATTTAAAAAAATAATTTTATTTTACTTAAATTTATAATTTTAATTCACAAAAACTTCTTCATTAAGTTGTTCTTTCTTTTTATTTTGTTAACATGAACGTAAATTTCTTATTTTATAATGCCAGTTTTATCACACTTTTAGTTAAATATTTATGATGTTTTCATCTAGCTCCCCTCCCCTTCCTTTTTAACAATAAACTATACTTTCAGAAACCTAGGGGGTTTTTTTGCCTCATTTCTCGGTCTATATGAGACAATATTTTTCGATAAAATCAGATAAAATCTTGTACAAATTGAGATAAAACTGAGATTTTATCTGTTTCATACAAACAAAGTGAATTTTTCCGAAAATTTTGTGTTTTATATTTTTTTTATCATTATTATTAATGAATCATGCTTGAAAAATTTTGCTCACATGGCATCAATGTTGGCTTGATTAAATTCAACACATGCTTCAATTTGCATAACGTTTCTGATTTGAATCCAGTCGTAACGTAGCTGTTAAATTCTTAAGCACACACATTGTAGAATCAATGACTTTAATTTGTTATCTCACATTGAATTTTTTTTTCTATCTTGGTGTGTCTTTGAGCTTTGGGACAAAGTTTAAAGTTGTTCGATGTGTTAAGGAAGCAAGAAGACATAACTTAGGATTATTGGGAGCCTGTTTGATTGTCTGCTGAACTTGCAATTTCCATATCATTAATGTCATTACTAAATTGACTGAAAAAATAAGCCAGAGTCTTTTCCCTTCTAGTAATCTCTTTATTTGATGAGAGTAGAAATGGGGATACTTTCGGCTTTTCAAGAACTCTTGGATTGTTGATAAATTTGAGCAGACTAACAGTTAAAATCAGTCCTCTTTTAAAAATCTTCATTTCAATTTCTTTAATCAAACAATCACAAATATAACTTTCCTTCATTTGTAATTCGCATTGCTTTCTTATTTTTATTTTCTTCGTCAGAATTTGTCGGCTTTATTTTTGTCTTCATTTTCTTCTTCGTTTGTTGTTGAACTAAATACGCTCAGTGCTTTGCAAAAAAGCTCAGAGACATGCATGCTAACATGTCACTCTGTATCTGATTCTTCTTTGCTCTGGTCTGATAATGGATCCTTATTTGCTCAATTGATATCTGTAATTATCTTTGCACATTTTAGTTCTCATGTCACACAACGAGGGATTCCATGATTCAAATTTCCTTTGAGCAAATTTGATGATCAAATTCGATTGAGTCGTTGTGTGAGTCGGCTGCATTTAGTGCAAACACTTGCCCCTCTTGTAGTTTGACCAATGTGATCTTGGTTGTGATCAATGTGGAAGGTTATTAATTGATAATTTTGCAACCTCAAAAGCGTTTTAGCATCACATTCTTTTCCAATTTCGATCATACCAAGATTTCGATTGTAATTGTTGGGTCCAAAAATATGAATGTTTATAACTTTAATTTGTTTAAATGTTGCTTCATCACTCTTTCCTCCATTGGATTTTATCAACGTTATTTCCTTTATCACTTTGTCCTTCACATACGCTGCTGAGCTATAAACTGTCTGACAAACTCTCAATGTTTTGGGAGCTTCAACCTTCGTGTAACTTTTAATCAATTTTCGCACCAATGAATTCCAATAATGAAGTCCAATATTAGATGCTTAGCAACCATTTCATCAGTCAATGTTAGCTTCACTATATAAAAAAGCCAATCATTTTTGAGTGAGATTGAAGTTGCATTGATTTTTTAAATTTGTCAGCAGAAGCAGAAGGAACATGGCGATATTGATGGAACTTCCATAAATAAGCATGGACTCATTTTGTGTTGTAGTCTGTTTGCTTGATGAATTTGTCCTTCACACCATCAGGACACAAGGTGCGTTTAACTTGAAGCTGAATAAATTAAATAAATACTTACCTTTTAATTTATTATAGTACGTTTAATGTTTATTACATTTTATCTTTTAGTTTATTACAGTACGTTTAAATATTTAAAATATTTTTACATCTTTTTATTTTATTTTAACATCTATTTATTCTGTTCAAACAAGAATTCCTCAAACGCAATTATTCACCAATAAAATGTTTAGCAATCATTATAGTTTATTTATTTAGATTGTCAAGAGGGAATTGATATTGTAACAATCATTACGCTCAAAAGTACTTTTTTTTTATAACTAAAAAGTGCTTTCAACATACTGTATTTTTTTACTTTTACTTAAGTATTTTGGTTTAGCAGTACTTTTTACTTTTACTTATTTACTTTTTAAGTTTGTACTTTTTACTTTTTAACTTATATAGTATTTTTAAAATGATCCCAACCTTGAAAATTTATGCTGAGGTTTTCTTGTGGACTCTTGTTTGCTCAAAAACTTTGCGATTCTTCTCTCATTTAAAAAAAGTGCAAATAATAAGTTTTCATATTTTTCACATTAATTTTTTCAGTATTTCGAGATTCTGACAAAAATTACCATGATTTCCCAGCCGAGCAAAATCTGAAAGTATATCAAAATTATTTCTGATTTTACATAATTATGGTCTTTTAATTTTAAAAATGTTAAAGTTAAATATATATATATATATATATATATATATATATATATATATATATATATATACACACACATATATATACACATATATATACACATACATGCATACATACATACATACATACATACATACAGGGGTCGAAATAAGTGCCGGACATCGCCGCCCCTCAGACCATTTTTGAGACCTGTTAGATGAGGACAACAAACCATTGTTCATTTTTTCAGTAAAAATGAACAATGGTTGGTTGCCCTCATAAAGCAGGTCTCAAAAATGGTCTAAAGGGCGGCAATGTCCGGCACTTATATCGACCCCTGTACATACATACATACATACATACAGGCTTGGTCGGGAAGCTGGAGCGATCGCTCTCGATTGCTGACCACGTAAATAATATTTAGTTACGAAAAGCTGGCCAGATTTTTTAGTCGTTTTGAGAACATTTTAAAAAGCAAAAAAAATAAGCGCAAAAGATTAATTGGACCGATGAGAAACAATTACAAAAAAAAAATTAGGCAAATAAAATATCTTTAGACGCGAAAAAACTTAAAGCTAAATAAATTACGTTTAGAACAAATATTTTCGAAACATCGCTCTTTTGTAATATTTTTTTTATAAAATTAAGCGATGTTATTTATATAAAGTAACAACTTGCAATTGTTTAAAAAAGAAACAAATGCTCTTTATTTAGCAAAGTTCGCAAGTTTTAGTTTTATTCAAGCTAAAGTATTTTATAAATAAAAAAGTAAATTTTTTCAATACATATTTTATGTTTCGCGTAGTTTGAAAAGTTTAACATATTTTAAGCAATTCTTCTTCGTAAGATAAACAAATGAAATAATTAAATCATTGAATTACTATAGAAATTAAATTAACAAGATAGAAATCAACTAAAAAGGTTAAAAATACTTTATGACGAGGAAGCGAAACTGCTTCACAATATCGCTGATGATGTTTAGCGAGTGGGCTTTTTAATTTTAATTAGTATTTAAAGCAGAAAAAAGTATAACTAGTTTTAAGGATGGCAACTTAAGCGAAAATAATTAGAGTTGGTAAACCAATATATAGAAACTCTTCTTTATATTTAATTATTTGTTATATATATATATATATTTGTGTTCTGTCGTGACCTCAGGCGCGGTGCTTGTTCATCCGCGAGTTACTTTGAATGCGTTGTTTGTGTTTAGTAACCAGAAACTTCTTATATGTTTGTTACATAATTAGTTTTATTAACTATAATGATTATAACTTCATTGAAAACGCAATTATTTTTGTAAGTCTTTGTTTAAATCATAAAAATTGCTTTAAAAGATACATTACAATAAAAAACAGATACACAAAATTACTTTTACATAAAGAATACATACTTTTTAAATAAAAAAATAAGAATATACTAATAAAATCTACAATTTATAATAAACTTTTGAAATTTGACAATTTAATATATATTTAAAATATTTATTTTTGTAAACAAATAATATATATTCTTAAAATAATTTATGCTAGAAATCTCAAAACGTAGCAAATCGTGAATATGACAATTTCTAAAACATTTCAGCAGGATACTCTAAAACTTTATTTTGCTAAGTCAGCGTATTTTTTGAACTAATAGAATTAGTTTCTTCGTTAATTTAGCGGGTTTTTAGTGTTCGGAAATATTTTTTTTTATTCTTTGGCACAAAGATGTTTTGAGAACATTCAATTTATTATGTTTCCATGAATGTCCGTAAAACAAAAATTTTTTGTTTTGTACATAAACTTAAATGTTCTCAAACGACTAAAAAACCTGGCCAGTTTTTCGCAACTAAATATAATTTCCGTGGTCAGTATTCAAAAGCAATCGCTCCCGCTTTCCGACCAAGCCTGTACATACATACATACATACATATATACATACATACATACATACATACATACATACATACATACATACATACATACATACATACATATATACATACATACATAAATTTTAACTGACTCATTATATTATAATTTTTAATGTTTTTTTACGTTTACACTCAAA